AGGAGAAGAGAAGCAAGATTCGTCAAGATCGTCGAGTTTGGCTTGTGGATTTCGTCGGGGCTGATCCCTACAAGGTATGTGAGATCCCATAACGTTGGGTTAGTTCACCCATGCGCCAAGCATGATTAATTCAGCGTATTTTTGTCCTAAAAAGATTGAGAATTTAATGTTTTTGATAGTTGTTCTAAAATTGATTTCGTTCTTGAATATGAGTTGGGATTAAGGAGTTTCTTGATGTTAAAGTGTTATTTTCTTGAGTAATTTGGGTTAGATTTTGTGTATATGATTTGGGTACATGAATCTAAAGTGAATTTGAGAAAAACAATTGGATAAAAACGATTTAGGATCAGAAAACGAGTTGAAGAACTTTTCAAACGCACCTGGGGAGGGCCAACCGCGTTGCGCCCCCATAGCGCCAGGAGGCTGGGGCGGTGATGAGTCCACAAATTGGACTCATTTAGGGCCTTATTTTGATAAGAATAGTGTCCTCGAATGCTTATTTTGTCTAAATTTCTTATGAAAACTCTTAGGGGTCGTTTGGTAGAGTGTATAAGAATAATGCAAAAATAGGGTGTATTAGTAATGCTTGCATTAGTAGTGCTTGCATTAGTAATACTTGCATTAGTTATGTCTGCATTATTTCTTATACACTGTTTGGTTTGATGTATTAGAAATAACAAATCTTGAATAATGTCTATTAAAAAAATGTATGTTTACAAAAATACCCTTCACACTTTATTTCTTTGTACACTTCCTTTACAACAAGGTTCTTTGCTAAAACATTATTTACTCCTATTCTTTTTTTTTCAAATATAAAATTAAATAGTTCGTTACTATATTGAAATAAGATTAAAAAAAAAGAAGAAGAAGAAGATGCCAGCTCCATTATTAGTAGATTTATAAAATGAATTTCATTTGAAGCTGTGACAATGTCTCCAGGCCTCATGCCTGCTCCACTGATCATATTTTCACAAGCTGCAACAATGAAATGCACCTGCAACGTAACAACGTAACATACATGGTAATTGAATACATGCACTTCCCAGTAAATACATTCTCGAATGATGAATGATAAAGGAAGGACTCACCTCTACTCCAAAAGGCCTAATTTCACCAAGAGCTTTTGTTGCACCTAAAACAACGGCAGCCCCTCCCATGTCATACTTCATTAGCTCAATCTTCGAACCAGCTCCAGTCTTGAGGTTGTAGCCACCACTAGGGAGCACAAAAACAAACGTTCAACAAATCATAACGTAAGAATAATAGAAGATAGATATCTATTTACCTGTCAAAAGTTAATCCCTTCCCAACCAAGGCTATCTTCCTTTTGTGTTCGTTAGTAAGAGTTTTAAAACATAAATGGATGAAGTAAGGAGGATTTTCAGTAGTTGCTGCAGCAACAGATAAATAGGCTCCCATTTTCAATTCTTTGCACTGCTCAGCATCTAAAATGTTTACAGAAATGACATCGCTAAAAGTGGACACAATCTTTTTAGCCTCTTCAGCAAGTACCCCTGCAGCACAAAGTCGATATATTAATTCTCACTTTAATACCAATCCTCTGTATGTACATGCTTCCCTTTAAACTTTTTCCAGTTTCTTGCACGCCATGTGTGGTAGAGAATAGCCCCACATATAGCTGCAAATGTCTCTTTCTGAAACTGTTTCCAATGCTTCCTTTTTGTTCTCTCCAAAACCTGTTTAATCCCATTGTTTGTCATTGTTATGCCTGTCCACTGTGTTATCCCCTGCCATACATCTTTTA